GTTAATTGAGCAAGGCTCAAGTGTTTCTTCCGATTAGAACGGATGCAAAACCAGATTCTGGTTTGGGTTCTGGGTGGTTTACACATACCACCAACAAGCACAATAAGTAGGGGTCAGTATGTGTGAAGTGCAGAAACCACTGTAAATACCGAGGGTTTCTGGACCTCGGAGAAAGCGTTTGGAGACATAAGATGTGGACGAACAGATGGCAAGAAGGCTGGGCTGGATCATGGGGGGGGGTGTGACCTATTATTACTACTACTACTACTACTACCACGACCACCACAACCACCACCAGCGACGACGACGACCACTAAGCTACCGCTACTACACCGGCGGCTGCTGCTGCCACTGCGACCACTACCGCTACCGCTGCACATCGCAACAGGCGCACGCATCGTGATACTGAGTTGCCTGCAGCTGTTCTGCCCGTAGAGGCGGGTTTTGATCATAGTCACTGCTTGCACACATGCGACAGGATGGAGCTTGCGGCCGCTGAAGCCAAAGTCCGAATCCAGAATTCGGAACCCTGCCACAGCATTGGAAAGGGTCACGGAAACCTTTCGCGGGCCCAAGCTTTCTTTGGTCTTACCGCTTGGAAATCATAGCAGCAGCCTGAGAAAAAAACACAGACTTCAAGCATGCCGACAGCCTGCCTTTTCCGTCGCCTCTGGAGCATCACCAGCTTCATCAGCGTCATCACCATCAACATGCCACCACCACCACCATTATCTCCATCATCACCATCATAGTCTTATAATCGAGATTACTGCGAAGAAGAGTTTGCAGGCTCATCATGTTCTTCCTCGAAGTTCATCTGCATCCCGTTTCTGTCCTCATCCTGTCGTAATCTTGAAACTCCTACTGCTCATCCAAGTTCTCGTCGTGGCGTTTGTAGGGTTGGGGGTTTATTGACATTGAGTCGTTCGAGCATGAACGTGTGGCTTGTGGAGTGTCTAGAATGTGTGGCGCCGTGTCCATGCATAAAATGAATCCGATCAGAAGCTTCAGGATTCTGCCGGCACCACAGCCAGCGGTGGGATGCAGCATCCGTCTGTCCACAAACATGGCTCGCTTCGGCCTCCATCCCCGTCACCGCCGAGGATGAGGGCCCCTTGGAGTGAATCCGTTTTTCGATGCATCGGGCTGCAGCCTCTCCTCGTCAGAATGATGCCCCGACGTCCGGAACATACATATTGTGGCTTTCAGAAGAGGTAGCAAGCTCATGAGAATGCGCAGGAATGCAGTACGAGCCTGGACAGTTCTTCCCCTGCCCGCTGGGCCACCACTCTAAGAGCTCTCTGTGGTTGCTTGGGGACATGGGCCTCCTCTGACGAAATTGCACACTGCAGGAGATCTATAAGCTAGGGATCGCATTTGGATTCCGTTCGAGCTCTGTCGTTTGGGGTTCTGCTGGGAGCCTGAAGGGGTGCCTTTGTCTGTGCACTGCCAGATCTAGAAAGAGGCTTTCTCAAACGGTTCTAGAAGTTGAAAGGTCTGCACAACTACATCCCGCCCACTATAGAAGAAGAAAGTTTTTGTGTTCCAAGCCATGGTCTGCCGCTTCGCGAACTGAGGACAGAGGCGGGTTCCACGAGGAGCGGGTCAGTGAGGATTGAAGGTCAAAGCGCATTTCGCCAGACGATGCCATCCATGTGAGCACTGTCCTAGGCTTCTAGCAAGATCAAGGATTTCAATCCGAATCCCTGCGCTTTGAAACGAAAGCTCTTTAACATGCCTCGGTTTGCACAATAGTTTGAGATAAGGTGTAACGGACGAACGCCCTGAACGAAAACATGTCAAGTGACTGCTCGGCAGGACCACGTCAATCCGCGGAGGAGCGACATGGTCAGCATGCGTTCATCCATTGCGGAGAGCATGAACAGCTGGGATTCCATCTACCAGCCGCCCAGACAGAAACCAGTCGATGTCTGCGTAGGGCTTGGAGATGCCCCTGACAAAAGCAACACAGTTATATTGGCAAGTTCATTCGACTCGTGCAGCCATCAATCGCAGCAACAAGTGATAGCAGAACACGACGTCCCGCAACTGCAGTCGAGGGAGGGCTCCTTGCAGCTGCTTGAGCAGTCAGCCGCATAAGCATTATATATCTAAGCCACGAGTTGCAGAGACAAGGCCGTTCCAGTTAGCCACCAATCACATCTGCGTCGGGTCATTTATTGCGTGCCACATGTCGACCTCAACCTGAGGGAAGTTACCAGAATTGCTTTGTGAGAGTTGTAAGTGGTCCCTTCGGTGCTTCGGAGAAGCCTCCCTGGGCTCAGGCACAAGCAGTTTCGCGACTCCAGGCGGAAGGCCCAAATTTCGCCTGCGGGTGCTGGGTGTGCGGTACCTGTTCCCTCGCCGGCCTGAGATCCTCCGCATTCTGGGTCGGGCTCGTTTAGAGGTGTCCCAGGAAATCCAGGGGCCTTCTGGGTAGATAGCCGTGCACTTATGCACGGTGGTATGTGGGGCGTCTTGGCTGAAGCAGCAGCCGGGAGAGACAACAGGGACTGGTGGAGTTGCACGTTGACGAAGCGAGCAGCTTTTCTCCCGGCCGGTCCACACTTGTGTTGTCTTGCACGGTTAGCCCATGATGTCTCCCTAAGTCCAGACTAAACCGGATTAGCTTGACAGCTCAGAAAGAAGCACACGGTCGCGTCACAGGTCGTGGAGGCAGCACGGAAATTGACAGCCATCCGTGGAAACTCCTTCGTGCTAGGCCCGGTGGCTCCGGAGAGGATTTGAAGTTTCTGCGGGGCTGAGTTTGGTATTCGGGTCTGTTCGTTGGCCGAGCGAGTCAAAGCCCTTATGAAACAGATCCATATTGTTCTGGGTGATGGCTGACACTTCAAAGTTAAGTGCGCGCTGGAATCACGACATGTTGACGGACTGGGCCGAGTGTGGAGCTCTCATGGGGTCGGCAAGCCGGATGCAGATGCCTTTCATGGCATCCATTGCACCGCAATATAAGTACTCCACAGAACCAGGTGATTTCAAGCAAGGCTTTTTCAATCCCAGACGGCAGAACCCGACGCCTCAGCACCGCACGACGCAGCCTAAACAATTAGGCAGCTTTCGTTCTGAGCTCCCACGGCCGAATCTGAGACTTGTATGTAGCATGTAAATGTAAAGTTAGGGCGAGCAGTAAATTATCCCGATATGCCTAACATCACGAGGTCCTGCGCCCACTGACTGATCACGTCTGTCTTTCGGACCCATGTCCGGCGCAGGCTTTAGGAACCCACACGGGTTTTCCACTTGCCCTGTGGTACGAACAGCTTTCCACCATCTGCGATCTACCTGTCGTCTCCATTGTAGTTCCTTTTTGGGTGTACCTTATAAGATTCCTAGTATATACTTGGTTAAGCTATAAAAAAAAAAGGGAACTACAATGGAGACTACAGGTATAAATCAAAAGGGGAAAAACGCCGAGAGCCGAAGACGAAGCCGCTCGCGAGATGGCGAGCTCGACTCGGAGGCCCCGGTGCCTTGGGCCCGGCGCATCGTCCAGTCCTCTTGGTTTCGTGCCCCTTGCCTTTGCTTCCAGTGCCTTCAGGGACCCGGAATGACTCGAAGTTGAGGGGAGTCGGTGTTGTGTTGTGTTTCCTTTCACTTGGTCTTTGGACCTCGGCGGCTCTGTTCAAGATTTTGCCCGCGATGCAGACCCATGCCTAGGCAAGTGTTCCGGTCGTGATCCTGACGAACCTGATACTGCTCGGAGTGGAGGCGCACGGAAATGACACTGGTCCTGGTGGGTAGAAAAAGGCGGTGGATAGCTGCAGCATGGACCATTGCACTCGAAACAAGTCTATCCTGGATCTCGATCATGTTCGTGTTTTGGTCTTGCCAGTGTGAAATCTTGCGATCGGTCTTGAGGCCATCTCAGAAAATGTTAAGAACACACGCGAGTCATGATCCTCTTGTTCTCGTCGTGCTCAAGATTCACGTGCCAATGCCCTGTTGCTGAAGCGTTCAGAACTTGAATGGTGCATGCGCCCTGGTCCCGAGTGCGAACGCCGTAACATGGATTCGTTGCATATGACCGTGCCGGAGCTTCGACCATGACAACCCCCATGTCTCTGCTTCCTTCCGATATCGGTGTGCTTCAGAGCCTGGATGCTATTCCTGTTGCACGTCCAGGTGGATGCCTCAGCCGACCTTCCTCCAAATGAGCATCTCGAAGGTTTCTACACCGCGCAGCTTGCCTCAAAGAGAACTCTGCCATATCTAGAACTCAAGTCCATATGTGTGCTCAGATTCATGCATTGTTCAGCAAGGGGCGGTAAAGCATCCCTGAAGAAGGTACTCAAAAGATGCACAACACACGCAGGAACTTGGTCATCGTGTCCGTCTTTTTCGTCGAAATTCTTCTGAAGGTGAAGGCTTACGGCTGTGCCTTGGTCGCGCTAATTTGGTGTTTCAGGCGGGTGTTCTCAAGAGTGAGCCGACAGTGTCCTAACGGATGAACGTTATTGCCTAGCTACGTTTTGACTTGCGGGTCCGTGGGTGTGGCCGTCTCCGGCGTTGCTGCCGGAGCATTTACAGCTTGTGACACCGAGGGTACACGACTCCATGCAGTCTTGAAGTGCGCAGCATTCTAGTGTTCCAATAGCAAGTTGAACGCTCCGGTCCAAGTTATTTCCAACAATCCTCGACAGCTTATACACATCGAAGTGATCACACCGTCTGCCTCGTCGGTCCGAGGCCGTGAGATGTTCTGTGGCCCCGACAAATGGTGGAATTGGTCGGATGCTTGATCTGAACATATCTGAAGCATCACACACCACCCACGTAACTTCAAAAGCAGGTCTATCCTTTGCGCACTGAGTGATATGGCCAGAATCTCTTGCTACGGGCCCTTACACCGTCACTACTTCTGCTTCAGCTTGTCATGCGTCGTTGCCGTTGTAAAACAAGTGCCCCATTTCGCCATGTCAGCACCGAGCGCAGTTTCATTCAAGGAGCGCCAGTTTGGGGTTCTCATGGCTTGCACATCAGGCTCCGAAAACAAGTTCCTGCCCGACCCAGCCCTAAGTGGCACCCTTTGCTACTCTGCAGCTGCACAGCTGCAAGGATTTGTTGATTTTCTGCCTGTCCATCTTCGAGATTGTCGCAGAAGCTGTGGCATCCGTCATGCCCGGAGCTAAGCCGTATGGGAATGGTTCTAGTACACCAGTCCGACCTTGCAGAACAATATGGAAAGGATGCTGAAAGACGTCGAGAAGGGCTCTGCTGGTTCCTTCGCTAGCGCAAAGAGGACCTTTGAATTGGAGAGTGTGCCTCGATGGCCAGGGCTTTGGTGCCACGTGCATTAGACCTTGACGTATAGGCATGTGTGTAGGTGTAGCTGTGGTAAGTGTCGTAGAGGTATCTACCTATATGGGAGCCCATATATATATATATATATGGATAGGTAGAATGATAATGCATTTACATATATATATATATGTATATATATATATACACACAGAGATGTAGATAGTGTTATATTCTACGATAGTATAGTAGAGTGCTGTAGAATTAGTTGTGTAAGTATAGTATCGTATGGTATTATGGTGTAGTATAGTCGAGTGCAGTAGCAGAATACAGTATAGTATAGCACAATACAGTACAGTATAGTGTAGTCTAGTACAGTATCACATTAATTGGGCTTAGTATTATATTGTGCTTAGTTAGATCATATTATGTTCTCTTCTATTCTGTTATCTTGTATTGTATAACTTCAGCTGTATCATATCATATCAAATCATATCATATTATGTTTTATTATATCACAGTATATTGCATGTTGTGCTATGTGTGTGTATAAATTTTAGCATATCTATATGTGCATATAAACACTACATGTTCTTATACATTTACATACTTATATGTTTGCGCATGCATGCGCATTGATTGATCGATGGACGGATGGATGGATTGATGGATGGATGGATGTATGCATGGATCCATGGATCCATGGCTGGATGGATGTAAATATGTTAGTGCTTATGTAGGTATGTAGTTGTGATGTCTAGTTTGTCAGGGTATGTCTGTATGCATGCATGCATGCATGCATGCATGCATGCATGCATGCATTCTTTCATGTATGGTTGCATGCATGCAAGTTTGCATGTGTTTTGCCAATATATGTTCGCCTGTCTGACAGTTTGTCTGTTTCTGTATACACATGCACATACACATGTTCCAATGCGGACGAGCTCTGCATACAGTCAAGCCCTGAGGTTCGCTTCGGAGATGGATCCCAGCCAACTCCGCATGATGCGCGTCCCGGCCTGGCCTGGACAGGGATTTAAGGCTTGAAAGTACGTAAGTGTCAGCTTACAGCAGTCCGCGGAGACTTTTCGACTGGCCCAGCATGCTGCAAGCACGACCATGAGAGCCAAGACCTCCTGCGTAAGCGTTTGAGCGGATCTGTAAGCACAAACTCTCTGTTGCAGCAGCTAGGTGCCACGAAGGCTTCTTAAGATGATGCTTCTTTGGTCTAAGCAAGCGAAACGAAAGGAATTTCCTGCAGCAGTGTATTGCAAAACCAGCCATCCCTGAGGCAGAGACTCTGGAAAAGCAAACTCGCTCTACACTCCAGAAGTCTGTCGATGCCTCAACCTCGAAACCAGCAGTCCTACACGTCGTGCCTCCTCCATTTCTAAACCCCGTTCCGGAAAAGCAAGACGCAAGAGGCGAGTGTCTTTGCTTGTATATTTTTATGTACACTATACGTAGACATACATGTATACATGTATGTATAGCCAGCCAGTGACCGAAAGAGAGAGAAAGAGTGAGACGTAAAGAGCGAAACCCAACTAAACATACATGCATAAACATGCATGCATAATGTAGTTTAAGATGTTGTTGGTTTACTTGAGTTGCGATAACCAAAGAGTGTATGTGCATATTCGCATACACACACACACATATTTATATATATATATACACATATCTTTATATATGTATGCATACCCCTATATATATATATATATATGTATGTATATGTAGACAGAAACATATCACATATGCTACCCCCTGGGTTATCTACCTTTTTCGGGTGGAAATGACCGAATTGGCCCATTGCCCGGGCTGCGACGCATCCCGGATTGAAGATCTCACCGCGTAAATGCGAAGGTCCGGAGAGGATTGATTGCGATTGGTACCATGCCCCCCAAAATCCCCAACCACCATCGACTAGGACTTATTGTGTCAAGAATGCGATCGAAAAAGTCATCACGGTAAGCGCACCTGTTTAATGGTGAGATGCCTCAATACAAGTAATTGGAGGTTTCTTGAAAGGTAGGCGCGCCTTTTTCAGGGGTCCTTACGATAAGGATCCTACACTTTGGGGTTTCTGTAAAGAAGCCACTGGTCATTTTAAACTCCTAAACACGAAAGGTCGATTTACATATGTATATATATATATATACTCATGTGTGTGTATATATATATATATATATCCTATATACATTCGCCCTATAAAGTTGCTTCCCCCTTTTACTTCCGAAATATACACTATATCGGTGTCTTAAGGAAGCCTGAGAAATCGTTAACCCAAATAGATCTCTACAGAATCCTTCTAAATCTATTATAAAAACCCTGATAAATCCTACAAAGAACCCTGATAGAACCCTTCTAGAATCCTCACAAAAGCCTTTCTTGTATGCGCATGGACCCCTGCAAAGACGTACCGAGTCCCGGGTCTGTCAAGACTACACCCCTGATAGAACAGAAATATTAGGCCGAAAGCCTTTCCCTCAGAAATCCTATATGCCAGAACTTACGACTATGCGAGCGACCATGTTGGTGCATATGTAATCAACTACACATGATTTCAATTCGACAAGCTAGTTTGCTAATGTTTCGGTTGCTACTATTTGCGTATGTGCACGTGCATGTTTCATGCGGTACTGCAGCAACCCGTAATAGGCGCCAAATTATGCAACAGAGACGATCAAAGTAAACGCCACTCCGAGTCAAAACACAAGGAATCCCAAAACACATCGAGGCGGCAACACACGAGACTACTACGGAACCCGCCCATTGTACATATGCATATATGCAGCTCTTTGTCTTTTGGTGTTTTTTGTCTCATCTTAGTCGTCCTAGCTTCCTAAATGCGAGCTTCTTCCTGTTACATCATGAGTGTGTATGTCACCAGGTCTCATGCGTGACACGCTCAGGCAAGCACATCAATGCGAACATTACAGACGTAAGTACAGTTTTAAACGCATTGGGTTATAGTTACTTTCTTTATGTAAATTAAAGTGTTATAAGATTCCGCGTGTACATTCATTGCCATCTGGAATGTGCCTATATGCGTGTATATACACAGATGACCGGGTCAGCATTGGTATGTGTAAGTGGCGACATTGTATGACACTGTGTGCTTGATACTTGATGTCCATTTGCATCCGACGCACATGCAATAAATATTCTTGCAGACTTGATATCGTCGTTGCTGCGGCTGTTGCTACATGGTTGAGAAACAAAGATGTATGTCATATGTGTGTTAGGCGCAGCAACCCTGTATTTCCCGTGGCCAGAAAGATATTACTGTACTCAAACACAGTGCACTAGGGTTTGTCGGCTTCTGTCGTATGTGTCCGTGTATTATGCATTTCGTACAAGATACTGGTACATTCCAGTGGTGTTGATTTCTAATACCATACAGCCTTGCGTGGGCATCCCATATGTGAGAAACCTTAGTGCAGAACAACAATATAACAGATGCTAGAGTACATGCTTGTGTACGTGTTGAGGGCAATGAGAGCAGACCCGATGCATCCCGAGTCTTGCACTTCAACCCACCCGTGAGGAGGGCCGTCGGATTGAAGATTGAAGATGCCCTGGGAAAGTTGTCTGTTCAATCTTCAATCCGACAGACCCTATTGCATTCAATAGGCCAATTGAACTCAATTGGCCTCACGGGTGGATTGAACTTCAAAACTCGGGATGCATCCAGACTGCTCTTATTGCCTTAAACACGTGCGCGAGCATGTATTTTAGCATCTGTTGTATTGTTGTAGTTCTGCGCACATACGAGGGGTAAGGGGATATACACACATTGACATGATTACATTCATAACCGAGGATTCCTCCGCTTCGTGCGGGCACTGCGTGGAGTTCGAGTCGTGCGACTTCTTCAGCGCCTGGCTGGAATTGAAGGGTTCCGTGCTTCAGGTGTCGGGCTTCGACGTCAGGGTCTACAGTATTGTTTAGGGGCAAGGAGAAAAAATGGGAATGCAAGCTATCCCCAAACTTGCTCCCGGAAATGCCTTGCCAAAGGAACTTGCAAACAAAATGGGCCCCTCCCTTGCCCCCGCTCTTCCCTTCCCCCTCCCCGTCCCTTCCAAACCCCACTTGCCCCGAGCCTCCTTCCCAAACTATCGCCTCCCTCCCGCACCCGGTTACGGGCCTCCTTCCCAACGCCTAAACGACCTAAACCCCAACCCTTGCCCGAAGCCCTAATAACCCTGAACCCTAAGAGGAGATGCAAAGGGCAAAGTTTGGTTCAGGGTTGACGGTGCAAGATTTCGTCGAATTCGACGAAGGCCTTTGGCTCTGGGCCCTTTCCTGATCAGTTCCGATATTTATGGTTGAACGAAGGATTGAAATCCTATCAGCCATCTTTTCTCTTAATTCCTTTCTGGATCCCTTTCCGATCCTTTCTGTCCTTAATTCCAGCGCCCATGTTTGCTCAAGCTAAATCCTGTCTCCAACTTAGTATATTTGATTACTTGGAGCATTTCCAATGATAGCCACCAGCTGCCGATCATAGTATTAGGTACGGGTTTGATCCAGGCAGGCTTTGGCGGCTAGAGACCAGAGTACAAGTTCGCAAGGATTCAGATCCTTTTTTGGCGGCTCTCCTTGCCACGTCCGAGTGTGCCTGGCATGTGTACGGGTCGACGCTGGGAGCCTGCTGAAACTATGCGGGAGTATGTAATCTTTGTAGGCTTAGCATCGTAAACGAGTGGTCGATGAGGCCGTGGTTTCTCAGACATGAGAGCTGCACCCTGTGCCGAGGTATCTCAGTGCTCTCAGAACCATCGTCTTCTCCATCGTAAGCACGATGAGCTCGGTTGGATGGACGTCCTTGCTTCTGGTGGGGCAGAAAGCACAACAGCAAAGCCCGAAATTGGCCACGTAAGGAAAACATGTAGAATCCGGAAGACCCATAATGCCACGCAAGCCAAGTCGCACCCATCTGAGATGTCATTTTGGAGTGTCACTTGCGCTTGCACCTGACACACGTATGCAAATTGCTTGCTGCGTCTACGACTGCAAGTGATATGTCCAGTCTAGTATTTTATTATCCGTTTGTTATAGTATACTATCTTTATAGCATATGCAATGTTGGTAGTATATTTAATGTTGGTCATCAGGGCTGGATAGGTCTCGGTCCCCCCACTCTTGTCCCGATGCTCTCCGCGAGGTGGTTCTGTTCTATCTCTTTGGAGTCTTGCTCACGCAGATATCCACAGACCACTGCAGAGATCTGAAGTACACCACTGGTGAGTTCTGCGACGAGCAGTTGGACCGTGCCTGTGCTGATGTTTCGAGTCATGAGGGTTTCATGGCACAAAACACAGAATTACGAATTTTGATTTCATTTCGTAACACTCACCAAGCTACCCGTTTTTTTGCAATGTCTTCCGTGAGTGTTCTTTTGCAGAGTTTGTTCACCGGGAATTAAGCATCCGGGCTAGCAAGAGCCAGCGAGCAGCAAGACCCAGCAGCGGTCGTCAAGGCCCGAATAAGCAAGAGACACAATGTGCCTTGCGAGCGTTGCTAATAACACTTGCCATCACAGTTGCCCGAGCTAGAATGATGGCAGCCTACTCTCATGGTTCGGCCCCACACGACTGGCATCCGTTAATGCATTCAATTTGCCGATGGCGATAACTGTAGTCGCTCGAACTATGGAAAACATCATTACGGAAGCCAAGCCCGGGAATGGTCTTAGAGTTGTGTTCTTTTGGTTCTGTATGAATGTGAAGGCAGGATGTTGCAAGGACTGGTTCTGATCGTGGTACTTCAAGATGGGCCGTTTCAAGTCTTAAAGCCTGAACACCTCACCAAGCCCGAAGCCCTAGGATCTGAGCTTCCCTCGGTGGCTCTGGGTTGTTGAAGTTTTCTTTTGCGACCGCTTGCCAAAGCCCCTCGCTGTCAGGGTTTTGGTCCAGTGTTCCACAGAGCATGCTGACGCTGTTCCTGTCCATCACCAACGGCATCAGCTGGGATGAGGCAGGGTACACCTCTCCAAAACAGCGCTGCCGGAGCGCGTTGATTGACACCCCAAGCCTTGACGAAGCACTCAAGTTGAAGCAAAGCCACTGACCTTACCTTGAAGCAACCAGGCAGCTGCAGAAAGCATAGGTGCTTTTGCATTTCCTCAGTTTTAGCCAGTGAGAGTTCAGGATTCCCTGAACTACAGACTAAAGGCCAGACTCCTCCCATGCAGCGGGCAGAAAGCCCCCAAGCCGTCCAAGGGCCGTGCATGCTGAAAGCAGTTGCCATAGTTCCTAGCTTATGACTGTGTAGCTAAAGGCACAAGGCTTGTCCGCAACATAGCAAGCTTCCCATTACGTGTTAAGCGTGCCGCGGAGTCTGAGAGCGTTCCAGGCCCTACAGCCTCTCCGACAAATCTCCGACATCGCCGTTGTCGGCCTCCTCATCTACATCGCCGCCCGGTATCGGTTCATACTGTTTCTTCTGTCTCTACACTCCGCACCGCACAAAGCCCACTCGATCGCAGATTTGTGCAGTAAATTTCGGCGGACGTTCATTTTCCGACACGTTTTTGAAGCTACAGCATCGCATCGGATGCGTTGACTGCAAAAACACATTGATGCATCCGATTCATTGAAGTTTTTTGAGCAAAAAACGACAGACTGGTGTGCTGAAACATTTGTGTTCTGTCTTGTCGTTTATGCTGTCGGCCAATCGTCGGGTGGAAGTGACATCCTTCCCTCAAGCCATGGCCGAGTGCAGTACAATACCCGGCTCAGCAAGCTTCTTGTAAAAACTGTGTTCGGTGCCAGAACAACCTGTGTCGTGTAGTGTCGCGTAAAACAAAGCGAGTCAGGAATCAACCTTCGGAGTTGTCGGTCTGCGGCCTTGTAAAGACAGCCCTGAGCCTTGGAGCACGCATCCACCGGAGCGTGAGCCGTTTCCTCACCACGTAGAGCGAGCGCAGGTTGGCTTTCGATTTTTTACCCATTGATCTGCAATAACTGTGTGGACATCGAGCTCAGGTGATTACGGTTCTGGCCGTATTGAATGTTGTTTCGGCCTCAGATGTTATGAGGTGTTCGGCTGCGGGTGCATGGCATGCATAATATCACCTGTTCTGACCACAATAGTGCTTTCTGCATGCCTCTTGCTACATGCGTTTCGGTACGCCTTGTCTTTTGGTATAGTCATTGCAACAGCATCATCATGTTTCAAGCGCAAACTAGATGTAGTTTCTACGATCCGACAGCGACCACGTGTTCTCTTCTTCTTCATCTTGGAATTGTGTTCTTTGTCGTACCAGCACGTGAGCAACACCGCCGAAAATTTTCAGGTAACTGGAGTTTTCTGCAATATGGCGATAGAAAGTGCAAGAGCGGACAAGGACTGCCGTTGCCGCAGGCTGTTGTTTTTCTTTCGAAGGGAGTTCGTCAGGTGTATCATGTGAACTGATTTTGAATCGTAGCCGGCTTGGTGTCTGCCCATAGGTCCCATAGTAGTTCCTTTTTGTGTCTTATAGTTAGGATCCTATTCGGGAATCCCAGAAAGGAACAACTAGGGCTTAGGGGTGGATACTTGGGTTTAGGGTTTAGGGGGTTGTTGCTTTCTGCCGCGGTTCTGCTTCTTCAGACAAGGTGCCCCAACGATTGCTGCACTTGCACCAGAACCTGTGCAATCTGTGGGACGCAAGCAACAGCGAACAAGAGCATCCTTACTTGAACCGGGAAGCTTTTCTGAGGTCGGTATGACACAAACTACAGACGCTTCGAATGTGAAGGTACATTAGACATTGTGCTCGACTTCCATTGCATTTGTGCTTTTCGGCTGGGTTGCAGCATCCTGGCTTTTGCACGGAAGGACATCGCGACCATGCAGCAGATGCAAAAGCACGAGGTGCCCAGCAGTCTTACAATCGTAAGTTTGGATTTTCCCTTCCATCATTATGATTATGTGATTATGACTCTATTGCGAATCGTACCGGAGATTCCTACCGGTTAGTATTAATACTATTGTATTGATTTCGCTTGGCCTGCTTCTTTCGTAGCACTGCAGCATGCGCATGACGCTTGACGGAACAGGCGCAAGTGGAGGCTTTGCGTGAAGTCTTCCGTGAAATCAACACGGACCGGTGCCTGCCATGACCATGAGATCTTGACCTCATCCGTTGATTCAGATTTTGTGTTCCAGGTTTAGTTTTCAGCTTTGAAGTCCATCAAGTAGTTTAAAGACAACAGAGACGTTGTCATGTCGGTGTTTGCAGGTTTCTACATGTTATGTTTTGCATATGCCAAGTTGTATTATTCGCATGGAGGTACCGAATGCATGCACGTACGCTGTGTGTATTTCTGCCGGTCTGCCTGTCTTTCTGTATGTAGGCATGCATGTACGAGTGTTTGTATGTATGCATGCATGCTTGCATTCCTGCATGCATGTCTTGATAGTTGTGTGTATCATTGCATAACGCACAAGTTACTAGTAACGTTTCAGTTGCATTGGTGTTTCAATGTGTTAACACATTTAAATGTATGAAGGTCTTAGTGCTTCGGTGTGTCAATGGTTCATCTAGCTCATGTAGCAATGATTATCAATGCATCTGCATTGTGATGTATTAATGTAGCAATGTATCAGCATAATCATGTACTTAACAATACAACAATGACGCAATAGTGTAACAGTGCAATACTGCAACACTGTCATAACGTAATCTTGTTCTTGCACTCGATCAATAGTGTAATAATGCAATAACCCAGCATTGTCATAATTGTAATAGTCGAACAGTGCCAGAATGCAACCATGTCATCGTTTAACAATGTAGCAGTGTAATCAGTAGTAGTGTACTACTGTAATAATGTCTCTTGTGATGTAATGCAACTCATTGCAATGTAATGTAATGTATTGCGAATGTATCGGCCAGTCAATGTCAATGCTAATGTTGATGGTAATGCCAAAGTAAATGTCAATGCTAGTACAACGTACCGTGCTTTAACTTGACGTCATATTTATGTAAGGTAGAGCCTGGTATAGTATAAAATAATATAGCATTGCAATGTACTGTATTGGATTGCAGTGTAATTAGTGCCCATACTTGCTATGCACGCGCGTGTGCTTGCATTGATTGCATGTTCTTTTTCCATTGTATATACGGTCATGTACATCTTTCCGTCGTGACTCTTCGAGCTACTGACTCGGCCTAGATATCTTTATGGGCATGAGCATGCAGCATGCGTGTATTGTGTGCGAACCCAAGCCCCTTCAGGCTAAACCCAGGAATCTAAACTCTAAACCCCAAGACCCGACCCTTGAAGCTTGAAGCACGGTGAGCTCGGGGTAGCTGGGTCATGATGGTTGGGTTGTGTCTACGTCGCTTACATGGGCTAGAATCTCTGGACATGGTTCTACCTTTGAAGGTATTCTGGACCCACCGTAGGCTGAAGGAAAATGCCCGAGCACACGAACACCCAACCCGGAACCCTACTGACTACAGCACTATAGAGCCCTAAACCCTGAACCCTAAACTACTAATAAGATGGTATAGAGCCCTGAACCCTGAACCCTAAACTACTAATAA